CCCACTGGAATAAGTGGAGATATCACCGCAAACTCAGTCCCCTCGAGAGAAAAAAAAAGGAAGGAAAAATGCACAGCGCCCTGCTACGAGAGACAATAACAACGTCGTAACACATTTCTCTCGTCAAGAACACCAATTGCAGTGCTAGCATAGTACGCGCCTGCTCGCGTGCCCCGAAGTGAGTGGGTAAATACAAGACCCCCACCCACCCGCTCACCCCTCAAGACAATACGGAGAGATCCAAACGGAAAAAATGAAAATTGAAGACCGACCAATCCCTGAAATCGGTTGTCGGGTGCAGCGGTGTACAGTATCGCACCCGTCTCTCCGAGCCAAGATTTGGTACCTGTTTATCCTCTCCACGGGAAGAATGGTAGTAGATACAGGCTATTCCAGGAAGGGCGCCAACCCTTGGCACGGAGGGATGAAAGGTTGGTACCGGCGGCACCACTTAGGCACCCGGATACTTGCGAGATCGCCAAGGTTACAGCTAACCGCGGCTACACCCGCTGTGGCAAAGCTTGATTCCCAGGGGTCCTTGGCATTCACATTCCAACCCAAGTGAGGCTGGAGAGGAGTAGGCGGGGAGCACTGAACGGGAAACTGGAAAAAAATGGAATTGCAGGATTCGAACTTTCAAAACACTCGTGCGGGTGATTCTACCAGGGAGGGAAAGTGAGGAGCCATGGTTAGGACCTTTGAGGAAGGGTTCTCGGTGTTGGAGGGGGCTGGGAGCAGCGGGAATGCGGTATTGTGGCTGTATGAAGCGTGGTCTCCCGGCCTAGCGCCTGCTGCTCGCACGGGCACTGGGGCGCTAACACGCCACCGGCCCGGGTATTTACCGATTTGAGTGGTGAACGGTGAGCGAACCGGGACCGACGGCGGCGGGTGAGGTGGTACGATATTGTAGGGATACGAAAATACCCAACCGCGAAGCGTCATTCCGCAATTGTAGCCTTCACCAGCAAAGCACGTCAACTAATGAAACAGTGGCCATGGGGTTATCCCCGACATGTATTCCGATTGCCCTATTTCACTTCGAAATACGGTGCTTCCCAGTAAATCTCTAATGCTCACCAGCTCCGCGATGCTCCATCACGCACCCTCTTCACCATGGCTTGTTGTCCACCAAACCCCACTGCATTATCAACGACCGGTATAGCTACCTAGGTGCAATTTTTTTGATAAGTCCACAGGAGCGAACTTGTCACCGGCATGAATAACACTGTTATCCCTTAAATAGACCGCTCATGCCTAGAATGCAATACCAACCCCACGCAGGCCAATGAAAACGGAAGAATGGAATTCTAATCACTATAAAGATCTTATACAGTACTCACTTCTCAGTGATGCTTTAGCGCATCCTTCTCACAACAATTCTTCCGGATTTGGTGTACCCCCTGATAAACACTAGAGTATCATAGCCCCATTTGTCGCCCCGGATTTAGATCTAGACTCCGGACTCCTGTCCAAGCCCACGCCCCGGGTCAACTAGTGTTTGGTCTAGATTCCCTCCCGCACACCGCCATAGATCGGAATCTTTAACCCGTACTCCCAAAGCCAAACTAGGGCCTAGCCCTGAAAACCCTTTCACAAACCCACTACGTTATGAGAGCACTGTTCCTTCTCCTCCCACCTTTACAGATCTTCACCTGGTACACAAATGAGTACAGAAAGTCTACACCTAAGCTTGGGGGAGCCCGGCATGCCCTCTCCTAGCCCGCCAAACAGCGCCATAGACTCCTACAGCCAATATTCCACCGGGGGATTAATTGCAAATTCCTATACGGTTCTCGGGGTAGGGGTGAAGTATTGCTAATGTCTGAGCGTTAATTTCTGTGCATCATGTTCGGAAAAAAAAAAGAATTATAATATGCCAATATAGGCTAGCACTACCGTACCTGCTTTCCAACGGTCAATAAAACCTGGCCACCGTTCTCGTCACAAGGACAAGAAAGAATTAGTAAGCTTTAAGGGCAGCTATGGGGCAATGCTCCTACTCTTCTTTCCTTTTGCTGTCAACACACAGACATTCGCACAGACAATACTTACCCCTGCTTCTCCCAATACTACACCCCTATCCCGAGTGTCATCCTCTAGACCTTAAGACCTTTCCATCCGCGAATCCCAAAAGTACTTAACGCCAGTATCGGGAAATCTCCGATCTTGAAGATGTGAAACGCTAGCTCTCTGGTGCGAGAAGTCAACAAAAACAGGGTCCGGTTTTTTTTTCTTTTTCCCCAGCAAATGCGACTAGCTCCAGCTAAGGTCATGACACCTCAAATGAGATTCCGATAACCATCGAGAGCAGGATAGGTTAAGTGCGCACTTGGAAATCACCAGTACTTGATGGGTCCCAGGGCGGTGTAGACCTTAGAATCAAACAAGGTTCACCCCGTCAAAAGTCACATATTTGAGAAATTCAGTTGTATTCTAGCAAAGCACGCAGCAACTCGAATGTTCCGATATCAAGAACCACTCTGTGATCATGACACATTATCGTAGCATCCCCCTCTCTCACTTGACCACCGATACTGAAACTAACGATAGCCTCTCTCCTGTGATCATAAGATGCGCACTTGGCCGAACAAGGGTGGAAGGGAGACATCTCATCAAAAGGAAGGAAGGAAGAAAAAAGTGTAAATTATCCTTCGGAAAGTCCGTCAGGTTCCAGGAGTTACAGGTTGGGGGGCACATGATTGGATTTCTTAAAATGGTAGATACTTACCTTCCGAAGTGGTGAAATTGCCTAATCTCTACATAATTGATAACCGCCAATCAGTTGTTTCAAGCTTAACCCGATGCATGAAGGGGTTAAGAGATCGACTGACCTCGGTACAGAGGTGCACCAGTAACGCGGGCTCGGGGGACCTGAAAACATACTGCACAAAAGCCGCGGCTCCCCTCGGCTCACCAAGTGCTCCTCAGATGATAGCCTGGCCATCATTGCCCAAGGATTTCCGGGCTCCGATCTCCTGAGTATGCCTGAATTCACACCATCGGAAGAACTGTCTCCGCTCAGCTTTCTGTCACCAATACGAGAAGCTGTTTGGCTCCTAATGCTACCAAGAGGTATATCAAAACGTGGAAAAACTCAGCATTTCCATCACTATACCCGAGTAGGAGATATCTCTTATAAACAAAAATGCCCTCAGGGTCAAGGCAATCACCCCAGGGCTGTCAGGTGCCTACGCACTCATCCCTCGCACCTACTGTCATTCTTTATTCCACTATTCCCGCATCACGATCTACGGAACTACGTCATATGGCAGGGCATTACGTTAAATGATCGCCCAAACCAACAAACATGAAAACCAAAAGCATTCTGAATTTAGAACGCATTGTAACAGTTTCTCCACCATGAACCGTCCCATTCCGATCAGGTCAAATCATCCTCGGGAAGTCAGCTTAACAAGATCCCCTCCCCTCGATGCACTGCATTCATCTACGAGAGCAGAAGCAGAAAATGATCAGCGAGGCGGACAAGAAAGAAGCACAGATAACGAACGAGACCTGTGAGCAAGATTCATGTGCACAGCATCCCCATGTAGATGGGCTTTCTCCAAGGCCCAGAATATGAAACATGATGGTGCCTAAGAAGGTTTGGGTTAGCTACGATATCCACAAAGCGTTGATGATAATTCGTGCCGGGTAATTCGCACCCCATCAACCTCCAAGAGACCGAACAGAACACATGCAACGACAGACACAAGAGCCGTGAGACGCACGGAGTATATCAGCTATTGGATAAACGATACCGACCCAATTCACATGCCCCCAACATGACCCCACACTCAGAGATAGGCCCCTACTACCGGGGCGCCCCCAATGGCATACAGAGGGAGCAGTCATAACCCCGAGAAAAGAAACTGCAAACGCCCAATTATCATTCGCTACAGCATAATGCACCCGTTTCAGGGAGAATACACCAGCAGTAAAATGAAGGGAATGTTTAGCTATGCATCAACCAGTATCATGCATCACAAGCAGATGGATGGCTGAAGTCCAGCTGATAGACAAGCAAATAATACGTAAGCAAATACGGATGGATAAGCATCTCGTCCAACCCACTCCCGCCCCGTCCCCTCTTTCCCCGCGGCCGCGCCGTTCCCCGACACCCCTGCTGCGCTCCACACTCTGCAGGAGCGACCCCCCGGCAAGGAATGCTAGCCCGCGGCAGTCATGCCAAATGCGGAAAGAGATTGGCGGGGAAGGTGTGAGACCCCCAACCTATGATACAATGTTTCCCTCCAGCTGCCAGTTCCCCTTCCTCGAAAACAAGCTAAACTGAACACTGTATCACGACAGAGCCCCGAAGGAATAGCGCACAGGTAGCACAAGATATACCTTTGTAGGAAAAGGGGATACACGTCATTGTGTATCACTCGATTACCCTGCCTTCACGAGCGAGAACTGCAGACGGGAGAACACGACAGGTAGCTGAGCAAGACTGCGACCTATGATACCATAAGGCACAGTACCAAAAACCCAAACGAAGGAACGCACAACCGCAACCGGCAAACAAACCCCCCCCCCCCGTGAGCCTCCGCACAACCTTTGTGCCCCGTAGCACCATCCTGTACGCTGGCGAAGCTCATCCCATCATCATCGAACGGTTCACGCACGTACGTAAATCGAGTATCATACGGTAGGCGATTTCCCCCCCCTTCAGCCTTCCCACATAGCAAGTACTACTACTGTACGAGTACTGTACCGCAAATACTGTACAATACAATACACATGCCGCCTACCGGCGAGGCCCGATCCGGACCTGCGCCTGGCCGTCCGTTTGTCGTCCCACTCCTTTTGCGCCAACTTTACCGTACCGCACAAACGACACGTGAAGAAAATCAAAGAAACAAAAAAAAAGCTCTGACCCATTTCATCCAATCCACCAAAACCGCGCTGTTGCGCGCCTTTCCTCGCACGATCGTGCGATGCGAGGAGGGAAGGAGAAAAAGAAAGGGAAAGAAAGGGAAAGGAGAGAGGGAGAGGAAGAACAAGTCTCGGACACCCCGACGCGAGCCGGCCTTCCCATTCATTCCCATTATCATCGTCAATCGACCTTTTACGAGATGCGCTAGAAGACACAGTCAGCCTCCTTCCTTTCTTCCTTCCTTTCTTCCTTCCTTCTATCACACCACACCACACCACACCAAACCCTCCCCCCCAGATTCCGCGACTCATCACTCGGTTAGTTTATCATACTATTATCACCCTTTTGAAAAAAAAACCCACCTGCATACCGTACATACTTTTTTTTTTCCGCGCTTTTTTGTTTTTTGAAACCTCTTCCTCTCCTTTTCCCAAACCGTTCGCACAAGTAGAGTAAGTAAACAAAAATCTTACGACATGGGATCCTATCCTATCCTATCCTGTGCTATCCCGCCCCGTTCCCATCTTGTGATACCAGTCTTTAATCTTTAATCGCCCTGTCGCGCACGTCCCCTCTTCTCCCCGGGGTATCCACTATAAGTTGACATGCACTATATAAGTACTCTACAGTACATTACCAGCAGGGGGGGGGAAAGTAAAATTCCCCGAAGCACGACCGATATACGCAGACAAGCAGGCGAGCCAAAGGAACGTACAAGTAACAGCCGGTAGTCTAATTATTGCAACGTACGAGTACTGCGCGAGTACAGTACCGGGTCAATTTAAATTTTAGGGAAAGTACTTTTAGTATCGTCCGTTATATTTGCTTTTTTTTTTTCCTCTTCCTCCTGCTTCTTTCAAGGTAGACAGGTTGCACGCGGCGGCGCAGGAGTGGTTGCTATGGTGGGAGAGGCAGGAGGGCGGTTGTGAACACCTCGGTTCCTGATGTGAATACAGATAGGCACAGTATGTTAGAGAGAGGGGCAAGCACGGCACGGTACTGTACGTATGGTACCATAATCCGGTAGCGAGACCACGGAGCACGAGTGATTGTTTATGGCGTCTAGACTCGCAGCTAGAGTTGTATGTATGTATGTATGTATATATGGTATGACCGACCGACTGACCGACAGATAGATAGAAAGACGTTGCCCGCTCCGCTCCACATCTTTCAAACCGGCATCCCCCGTCGGGTTCAAAAATATACCCTACCGGTACTTGTAATCAATTAACCAACTGACAGTAAACCCCCCCCCCGTTCTTTTTTTTTTTGCAAACCCCACACACACACTACGGTTTTGCCTTTTTAATAAAAAGATCAAACGAACGTTAAACGCACCGACCGTCGAGTGAGCGGTTATGTTTGTTTTGTTCCATCTATCTACAGCATAGCATACCCGCCAGAATTGCGGAGTTTATCATATGTAGGAAGGAAGGAAGGAAGGGGAAAAAAAAGAAAAAATACGTTACACCAAGCGCCGGGGATGTACCGTAGGGGGTACTTGTACTCGAGTATAATACCGTACTATAACGGTACGGTACAGTACAGTACACTACCTCGCAGAAAGTTGATGCGTGATCGGGGGTGATCAATCAATCAATCAATCAATCAATCCATGAGCAAGAACTGAACGGAAGGATAAACGTGGCCGGTGCTATGTACAGTACCTTGTGATAGATTTGCGTCCGTCCTCTCAGAACCACGCGAGTGGGGGTGGGGGGGGGAGGGGGGGAGGAAGCGGCCGCAGGCTCAGTTCAAACTTGGGACAAAAAGGCAGAATGTAGTATCGCATCGCATTATATCATGTTACTCTCCTCCATTCCGTCAAGTTAAACTTTCCGCACTTTGCCTCGTGCCACACGTCCTTTATTTTTTATTTTTTTTTATACCACCCACATACCGTTCATCACCGTATTGTATAATACTCGTACTAACTACAATGGTACTGTAACGGTACGGTACTGTACGAGTACTGTACCTACCCGCCCCTCCCTTCTTCATTTTACTCTACTCTGTACTGTACTGTACTGTGCTCGACTTTATTCATTTATTTTCTTCCCCCCCACCACACGCACACACACACCCGCACACTGCGCACTCTACTGTTATACCGGTCGGTTACCTTATCCTACCAGACATACATACAAGTATCTTTACTGTACACCCTCCCTCCACTCTCTCTCCCCATGCCAGATCGAATCGGTATGCACGCTGCCTACTCACTCACTCACTCACTCACTCACTCACTTACTTACTTACCCGTACCCCCATGGAGAAAGAGGGGACACTTTCACCAAAGTGAGGGGGGGGTGGAAATGAAATAGAGTAAAAGTGGACACGCGACAGTACGGGTACCCTACAGATGTAGCGCTATATGATATTGTACAAGTACAGTACAGTTATGTAGGGGTACAGTACAAGGTTTTGGTGGGAACATCGCAATATCAACGCTCGGGTGGGTTGCAACTCTGTACCGTAATGTACATTGCCGAGAGCGAGAGAGGGAGAGAGGGAGAGAGGGAGCGTGGGATTGTCGGTCGGTCGGTCGGTCGCTAGGCCGGTGATCCTGCGGCCTACCGTATCGTACCGGTCGATCATCCGGCCGGGGGCGGTGCCCCCATGATAGTGTGGATGGATGGGACACGGGACTGACTTTTTGCCCGTGATATTTCACGAGTACCGTGACATTAATGGCACCCCACGGTACAGCACTCCCGGCCATTGTTGCGCTCGCGGGGGCACGTACGGTGCTCTACAATTTGAGATATCCCGTATGATAACCCTTTAAATTTGTAATTGTGAACCATAATTCGTCAACCACTTTGGAACCTCTTTTTGGGGGGGCCATCATGGTTAAAAAGTTATTAGGAATTAATTGATATTCTTTTCTCGGGTGATTGATCGGCTTTAGTAGACTCCAGAGTTTTTTTTACTTGTTTTTTTTTTGGTTCTTTAAGCTTTTTTCCTCTTCTCCGCCGCACTTCCACATTTCCGTAGTCAAATCAAGGCCATGGCCCAATTGGTACCGTGCCCCCCCATTCCACCACTCCACGCTATCAAGGAGAGGAAGGGGGAAAAAAAAAAGAAAAAGAAAAGAAAGAAAATGGCAGAGAATACAAGAAGGTTCGGCCGTGAATTACTACAGATGAGGTAAAAGATAGAAAGAGACCGGTATTCCAAAAGACACGAGTACGCCCCCCCAAGAATAAAACACAAATGGAAAAGCGGTATAGGAAAAACAAAGTATAAAAATAAAAACCAAGCTCCGTTTCCCTTTATGAGATTAAAAAAGAGATAAGTGAAATCCTCCCGATGCTTTCAGGAATGAATGAAAATAATTAAACACCCGATATATGCTATCCCCAGTGAGAGGAGGTGAGGTAGATGATAGGGCAAACCAAACAAGTAAATAAAAAATAAAAGTGGAAAGAACAAAAAAAAAAAAAAAACCTCCTTTCCATTCCCGCTCGCCGTCAATGCTTGTTCACCGTCGTTGCGTGTCTTCATCTTGTTTGTTTGTTTGTTTGTTAGGCCTTTTTAAGGCAGGGGGGTTGTGTGTGCGATGACGATATGGTGACGAGGCCAGCTCGTGAATTCGTTCATTTTTGGATCCCATGACGAATGCTTCTACTGATCAATCGATTTGCGTGTGATTGCGATCGGGATGAGGGGGTGAACGGTTATTTGTTCGGGGTAGGAGGAAGAGGCCTGGTCGGTGGTGGGCCGGGACACGGGGGAATGCCTGCTGATGAAGGGGCAGGTCCGTTGAAGTTGTATCCCAAGGAACTTAATGAGGTGGGATCGTTAGGGTTCAATAGAGTTTGTGCTGGGGCAGGCATTTCGAAGGCTTGTCTTTATCTCGTGTAGTGGGAGGAGGCGATGGGTAGTAAGGATATTGGAGCAGACTCAATTGACTGAGCTGCCGATAATGAGGCGGGAGGGAGAGGCCCTTTATAACCACGGAACCCGAGTTGCTAACAGGCGCAGGACCAGAGAGACTCACTGATCTTCGGGCAAAAATAGGCAATACAGGGGGGGGGGGTGGTATGGTGCAAGAGAACCCCGGCTGTAGTTGGAGATGCGAGTTGCGGCGAACCAGTGTATGTTTCAGGCCGGGGAAGCGGAGGATCAGATACTGAAGGAAAACTCGTACGATTGTAATCTCGGCGGCAGCGGTTGTGGGGAAAAGATGCAAGCAAGGCTTTCCGACGGAGAAAGAGACGGGGCAAGCAAGCGCCTGGTGGTGGTGGTGGGCTTGAACTTGGTGGAGGTGGTGGTGGGTAAGGGCAGAAAGTATTCAATTCCGTAATGCCTCAAGGTCGCAGATGGAAATCCCGAGAAAAGCGTGGTGGTGATAGCGATCAAGCTGGGTATGTACGGCCGAGGGGTTAGCACCGGTAACAGTAGTGACTGGGCGTAGGAAGTCGTTATGGGGAGTTGCAGTTTGTTTGATATAGGAAACGAAAGAGTGCACCGGAAGGAAGGGGGGGGGCCTTGGAGACTATTTATTAGACCGCGGTTTGCTGGGAAGCTACCGCATGGTGGGAGTCCAGTGCAAGCAGTGCGGTCTGGTCTGGTCCAGCAATCATAATAAAAATAATAACTAACCCCTGGTGAAGCCCCGATGGGGTGCGCAGGCAGGAGCACTGACGACATACCCACGCTGGTGATGAGCCAGGGCCCATGGGTGGGGCGGGCATGGGCTGGCTGGGATGGGATGGGATGGGATGGGATGGATTGGGATGGGATGGAATGGGATGGGGCAGAGGGTTTGAAAGAAGAAAAGAAGGAAAAAGGAAAAAATGTGTGAGTGGATGCTAGGGGGGGAGAGGGAAAGTGAGTGAGGTGAGAAGGATGCTGAGAAACAACGATGGGGTTGTCACCACACTCGATAAATTCTTGCGGAGAGAGAGGGCTCAGGCATAGCCTGGCAAGACACGAACGAGCGAACGCACGGACTTTACAGTTCCGAGTCACTTCTCACTCAATCAGGGAGGATGGAGGGGGGGAGAGAGAAAGAGGAGGGGGGCGGGGGTGGTCAATCGATCAATCAATCAATCAATCAATCAATCAATCAAGCAAATCAATCATCGACGACAATCACAGTTTACTCTACTCCACCGACTGACAAGCGCAAGGGCATGTCTCTCCATTCGCCTTGCACCCGCTACATAACATGTACTGAGTACAAGCTGGCACCATCGTGAAACCTCAGAGTGAGAGAAATAACGCAGGAAGTGTGGAAGAATGGCGAATAATAATAGCCCCACTCGATTGTATCAGACTTGGCTGGAAGGTTCAGACGACATCCGCCATTCGATTGAGCTTGAGGCTAGGTGAAGAGGAACAGCTACCTGTTGTCTCACATCGCTTGACCATTGTGACACTTGCCTGCTTGCCATCCTTCGCCTGCAATAATAACAGCCGCACCGCACTGTACGGCGGGGTTCCTCTCTCCTTCGCTGTCTCTCACCCCCCCCTCCGCTCTGCTCAATCCATTACCTGTACCGGTACCGGCGCAGCACCCCCTCGAGAGAACATAAACGAGGGGAAAGTCCTTCGGTCGAGAGTCGAAAATGCGTAAGGGTAGGGTGGGCGGGCAAGCCGGCAGGTAAGTGAGACGACCAACTGATCAGCTGGACAAAACCATTACTTGTACAAGGGGGGGGCAGTACTTGACAATTGATCGTGTGCGTCAAAGTGTGTGCGCTTCCGAGGGGGAGGGGGCATGGGGGAAATGGAATCAAGTCCGCCCAAAGCAAAGTTTAATAACTACAGAAAACATATTCATTTGGGCCGCCCGACCGACTGCTTCCCGTAATGTAAGGTATGTATGTACGTACCGTACTGTACCTGTACCGTACTCTACCTGTATTAAACCTGTACCTTGAGGGTAAAACGAGTAACCGTAACGTACATATCATGGGTGATGTCTTGTGTGAGCGCCTCGCGGGCAAGGATGTGTGGGTGGAGAGGGAGATGGAAAGGGTTCCTGATCCGTTTCGTCGGGAATCTACATCGCCGGTCGGCGCAAGGGCTGGGCATGTTGAATTTCGTATGACAGGCGGCCGCCGGCGCTCAT